AAAAACACCTTACCACTTTGGGAAATCGATGGCATATATGCTCTTTCTAAAATGAGCCGGAAATAGTGGTTCCTTATTGCATGTGGTCCAATCGTTCCTCAATAAGTGATTTTTGTTTCTCTCCGACGTCGTGCGACCATAAGAAGAAGCACTGGAGGATTTGAAGAATGATATCAAGGCTGGATGCTCTGTGGGATCTCACGGAGAAAAATGCATTACCTTTGCATTGGGAAAAGGCTAATTTAGTCCCTTCCTCGGCTCCGGCGCTGAAAGTTCTGGTGGCGGAGCCGTGGCGATAAAATATTTGAAGCTCTATTTCATAAACGCAAAGAATATTACCGCCGTCTTAATCGCTTAACTTGAGCCCGGATATTGGCGCTCTACCTCCCCCCCTTGGGCAATCTTCATCATCCAATCTCCTTAAAACCAAACGCCGGAAGTTTTCCCCCTTCTCCTCCGCGCCGGATTTTTCGCTCTCCTCCTATCGGCGAAATTATTTTCACCTCATTTGCTTCTATTTGTATCTGTCGCACGAATAACCAGAAGCGAAGCAGTTCGCTTGTGAGATTTTCATTTGAATAAATTAAATTCGCATGAAAGTTATCAAGAGTCGAACGACGCGGGTGGGGTTGCCAGAGTGGTTTTAGAAATTTAAATCGCCGACAAGGCATTTTATGGCAAGACACGAAAAAAATTCTCAGCGGTTATCCATTAAAATTGTGGTACTTCCCCAACTTTTTGGATGCTATGGATATTTTTCCGATTGATTTTGGTAGTATCGCAACATAAGCTGGGGTAGCACCGCACCATTTGGGTTCGTAACCTAATTTATTGAGGTACTACCACAATTGATCGGACTTGTCCAGGTTGGGACCCAACCCCTATCTCAATTTGTCCGTGAAGTTGCAATGACCTGAAAAATTCCAGGGAAGTGAAAAAAAATATCCGGAAAATTAGGGAGTTTTTCTAGTGACTGGTCCAATTTTTTTCTCGGAAAATCGGAATGTGAACCGCGCCCTAAAATTGCCCGGTCATTGGTAATGATGATATTTTTTTTTTAAAATGGGGATTTTAGGTAGAAATTCCTTGGAATTGCTTTATTAAATCGAGAAAATATCAGAGAATTGTGATAATTTACATCCCTGGCAAGCAGAAATGTTCAATCATCGGTGAGAATTGCACATTTTGACGTTCAGCCAATACACGAATGAGAAACTGAAGAAAACTGGGTGGACAGAAGATCATTAAACCGTCAAATTCAGCCAATGTATATGCCATGGGCTGAAATGCTTGACTAATTTACTGTGCGCGTTGTATCATTTTTCAAATGTTTAATCGAGAAAATATTTTATGTTGTATTCCATGACATCATCACACAAATAATAACGTCATTCTTATATTCCCTTCCTCTAGCCCTATTCTTGAACCCGTGAATAACTGTAATTTGAGAGCGATGTTTCAACAGCGGTGGCGATTGCGGTTGGCGGACCGGCGGACCCGAAATCATTTTTAATAGTTCTCAAGTTCTCTCGATTCGTACTTCATGGAACTCCTGACGACCTACTTAACTTTTCATTAAACTTTCCCCACGTCTCCCTTCCCGATACGTCGTTCTCAGTCTTGTCTCGGGGAAGCCTTTTTTCGCGTGGCTTTCCGACCGGAAGTAATGGATTCAGATGCTTCCGGCAGATTTATCGCTTTTAAGAGCTCATCCACACGCTTTGATTCAATAAAAAGTATCTGCTGGAATGAGACGCTTGATTGAAAAGCACTCATACCAAGAGATCAACCCTGAATCATGTAATGCTGAATTTGCGGTTTCTGGCATTCCGTTACCGACCCATGTAAACCGTGCCCGACCAAGGTCCTCCAACAATGCCAAAGGCTCGGAATGGGACCATGGGACCCTGAATTTCCAAAAACATTCTCCGTGGCTTTTGAAAAAGCGTAAGTACCGTGTTCAATGAGTTTTTCTCTATCATAGTTTCTCCGGTAAATTACATTTTAGCCGAATATTCCTGGGAACCAGGACGTTCTTAATGAAATTTCCAGCTGAACTCCATTAAAAATCTACCTATAAACCTGGATCCTATTTTCCCAAAGATCGCGAAAACTTTAGATGAAATCGCGTTTTATGCACTGGTCACATTGAGGTTGCTATTTCTGAAGCACAGTAATGGTAAGTAGAAAAAAAGTGGTTTACAATCTCCCCGGTCAACTTGGTCTGAAATGCACTTATAACTACAAATTCCTAGAAATGACATTACAATATCGGAATATCCCTCAGAAATCTGTTCAAGACACGTTAAAACTATTATGCGTGACGTCTTAATAAGTTAGTATCTTCATCAAACGATACAACCTCTTTCAAATCTGCGTAATGTTGCCCAAGATACGCACCCACCTCCTGCAACGCCGCGTATTTTACAGAGATCTATTCCCTCAAGCCGTATTCGTTACAATCTTTGGCATCAGTGAGCAGTTCCGTACCGCTGACCCATTAGCGGGCGGGGTGCGTTCGAAATCATGATCGGTAACCCTTACTATTGTCTTCCGGTTCCAGATTCAGGTAGCAAACGGAATCCGTCCCTTACGCGGTCGCGTTAATGATCGAGACCGGACACTGCATGCTCTGCTATTGAAATCTGTACCGAAAACGCGACACCCCGCTTTCTCGTTCAAATACTCGAACTCGAACGAAAAGGCGTGCCTTTTCGTTCAAGTTCAGAAACCATAACTCAAAAGAGTCCGGCGCGTTATGAGTTCAGCTTNGAACGCTACGGAGCTGAGCGAGGTTCTAGATCTGTAACGCATAACGAAAATCGGCGTTATGAGTTATGGCATTAGCATAGCTGAACTGATCGCAATGGTCAGGTCTTTGGTATGAGTTATTTGAACTCGAACGCAGTCGGCCGCTTATTAGTTCGAGTTGCGAATTTCGAACCGATTCGATTGACAATGCGTTCGGGATCGAGAACCCGACCGAGACCTTTCCGCGAACGGTTCACGATCGAAAACCCAAACTCATTAGGAGCCTATTCCGTTCGGGTTCCATATCCCGAACGCAAACGCAAAGGCGGCCCATTGCGGTGTTGAACGATGAACTGATTAAATAAGAAATTTTTAACATATAGGTCTCTGGTATTTTAATACTCGCAAAATGTTTAATGTATACCTCGTAGCCAGATGAAATAGCGTACAATGCCGAGTGCAAAAACGCCTTCAAATCGATGTATATGCAACATGGACAGCCGCCAACGTCGAATTGTTTCTTTCTCCAGGCGCTATAGCTGCACAGTCGCTGCGCTGCATGGTCTGATCACATCAAAATTCTGTGAATAAGTGCAAGTCAACGGTGAAATTGCTGAAATATGTGTCTATAGCTTTCGGCGTTTTAAAATACCCGGCTCCATTTCAATTTGTCAAAAGAGAACAAACCGACATTATTGCTTGAAATTTTCTTAGAATATTCTTCATTCAGAGAATAAAAATTATGTTAGTTTTCGAGAAATGCCGTCAAATATTCTTTCATGTAGAAAATAAATTGTGAGGGGAAGTCTGAAGCGCTGTGAACTGAGATCATTGTTTCTGCGGTTTCATCGTCGAGTTGTACGTTTTCATAGGTTGAAAACAGTAAAAAAGTTTCACTTTTATTCCTTTCATTCATTTATTTATTTATTCATTATTATTTTTGTGTAAAAGTTTCGTTTGATTTCCAAAAAAATTTCTCTCCGTGTCTGCCAAACGCTATACCTAATTAAATCTCAATGTCATGCGCACAAAATTCCCGATTCCCGAAATGGATTCTGGAATATCGGTCGTGTTTTTACCCAAATGTTGCAAGTGAAAAAACGCGTCCCAGCGCTCGCATTCACCTTACCTCAGGGTTGCACGGGTAAAATGAAAAAATGAAAATTCCCGCAGAACATTTCATGACATTTCAAAAATGTGTGCAAACTATGAAACATTTTCAGGGGCTGCTTACGAAAGTCGCTCTGAAAATACTAAAAAGCAATCCATTAAATTCGCCTTTCATTTTATTTCGCATTTAATTTAGAAAAATATTTTTCAATATTTTCCATATTTTTCTGAAACGTCATGAAGCATATCTCACATAAAAATTTAAGTTTTTACTTTTCATGAAAAATTGCAACCCTGCCTAGCCTCGCCTGACTCACAAACCCACTCGCTACGCCACGACGATGAAACGTTTCCTAGGCGGGAGATCTGACACGGGCGCGTTGGCAACGTAATCCTTCATCGCTCTTATAACTCAAGCGGTAGTGTTAATAGAACCGTTGCCCCCCCCCTCCCCATTCCACCCCCTGGTCGGCGGGATTTCAGGTTTATCGAGGAAATTCCCGGGAAAATGACGCAATTCTATTAGCTCGGAAGCACTCTTCCCTAGTGCCTTTTGCTTTTACCCATAATCCCTCGCGATTCGCACAACGCGGCGCGGGAACAGAGGCGTCCGGGTGACAGCGGAGTGCTGTCGTAACCGCGTATCCGACGCCGCGAAAGGCGAGTTGATGGGCGATTTTTGCAACGCGGAGCCGAGTGCAACTTGCTTAATTTTGAATGAACTGCGGCGAGCGCGGGTAAGGTAAGGTACCATCTGGGAGTCGAGAGCGACCGATCGTGTGCAAGGACGATCTGAGAGCAGTGGCAATTCTTTAAACTTGGCAACACTGTTTTTCTCCTTTAAATGTATGCAGAACAATCGATTCTTGGTGAGGCTGCTTGCTTCACCTAAAATCGATATTTTCGATGGATTCAAATGGAGGAAAAACGGTGTTGCCGACTTGCGAAATCGTTACCGAGCTCTACGGTGTGCCATTGGGTCGAACGAATTTCCGAAAGATGAATCTGACTTCAAAAATTAATGTTCGAACTTCGTTTAGTGCAATTTATAAATGCATTAAATTTATATTCTCTCGTCATACGTTTGCTAGTCATTCATTCTTTTGTTTTTTTTTTTGTTTTTTTATTTGCTTCCGAAGGCCATGCTGCCAAAAATTGGAAGATAGGTAAGTACTTTGACACGAACAGCACACATTGGAAAACATAAATCAAAGTAGTGCATAGTGGTAGAGTGTAATAATCACAGGTATTGTAGCTTACAGTGAAAATTACAGAATAGTCAAAATTCACAATCGGGTCTAAATCGGTAGGAAAAATTTGATTCCATACGATCCGTCCCCATATTTTCTCACGTATTTTATTGGGAGTTTTTTTCATTACTCTTTGAATAGAACCATTCTTCACTTCAATTAAAGACTTTCGGAACAAGAACCTACATCTAGCACTAAAATTTTTAAGTAATTGGTGTTCTTGTAAAAAATAAATCTTGATTAACACAGCTTTTTCGCGACGCTCGTATAGTATCTCCACTTCGGAATCATGAATATGTCCTTTTCAACGGAAAACGATGTTTTCAAAGCTCGTTCTTTTGTAGCAGAAAAACCACGCCAAAAGAAAATCTTGCGCTCGTTCGAGAGGTAAAAGCTCTAAAAGCACTCGACGACGAAGTCATGATACCACCTCAAAGTTAAGCAATTGCCCAGTTGCGCAGAAGAGTCGGGCACCTCCTCAGGTCTCCAGGACAATGGTCATATTTGAGCATGCTTGAACTGATTAGTATCATTCGTCAGAATGTAGAATGACGACAGGGTCCATTTGCAGGCGCAACGAATAGCCAAAAGGATATGACACTTGTGACATTGCATCTGGGGAGGTGAAACGCGGGAAGCAATGCAATGGTGCCAGCGCATTTATAAAATCTTTTCACTTAGTCACGTCCATTCGAATTTTCGCGCAGCTGCGACTCCTAAAATGTATGAGCAGAATTGTGTCTTGATTCTAGATTCTTGTGGATTAGCTGAAAATAATAAGATCCGTCAAAATCGCAACTTTCTACGTCTGATGTTAACCAAGTTAACGCTTTGAAAATTTCGGTATATGACGTCATCCACCGCGGTAGCGACACCCTCGGTGTCCCCCACCTTGCTCTCGTCAGTCAGGGAGACACTTATTATTTGCAATGGTTATACAACGTGAGACGTATCGATGAAAGCAAGGTGAAAGGAACCAAGGGTGTCTCTACTGCGGTGGATGTGGTCATTAACCGAAGTTTTCAAAGCGCGATATCTCCGTCAATATTGAACGTAGAAGGTTGCTGTTTGGACGGATCTTATTATTTTTAGCTAACCTACGTGAATCAAGCATCAAAACGCGATTCTGTGACCATCGTGACTAACGAATCACTAGTAAATACATATAAGTCTTTTAATAGCACTCCTTGGCGCTCTACGACACCTAACCTCCACTGCCCTCTGTCCAACTACAACCCCCTGGGCTTTGAGCACCTTAACATTTCTGCTTCAGTTCCATCCCTCCAATCTCTCATTGGGCGCCCTCTGCGTCTTCTCCAGGAGGAGCCTAATCAAGGACCTTCTTCGGCAACCTGACTCCTGTGCATTAATACAGGGTGTCTAGCATCAGGATTTTCCCGATTTTACCGATTCTACCAGGATTTGAGGTCAATCAGGATTTAATCCCGATTTCATCAGGCTTTGAGGAAAAATCGGCCGTAAAATCAGGATTTGAGAAAAACCGGCCGTCCGCTTATTTTCGGTAACTATCCGTTATCCATCCGTTAATTTTTCTCCGCAAAAATCAGGATTTGATCAGGATTCGGAAAAATTATCTAATCAGGATTTAGCAGTCAAGTGTCAAGAATCAGGATATTATCAGCATTTCCCAAAATAAAAAAAAATTAGACACCCTGAATTTAATAATAGTAAAATCTGAAAAAAGACCCAAAAAAACATGAAAGTGACTAAAAACTGAGAAAATTACAAGAACTCTCCAGTGATCTGTGACTGCCGGGAAAATTGGCACTATAGGATCCGCGTTTTTCCTTGGTGCATTTTCTACAAGAAGTTCCCTGTGCGTGGCTCAGACGTGGCAGCGAGGGCGTAGGACGATTGTTGGGTGCTAGATGGTGGAAATTAATGGATTTCAATTGGACCTCATCGGTTTCCGAGTCCCATGACAATGACGCCATCCGAGGAGTCCGCGGCCGCGTCGCGTCACCGTGGAACAATAACAGGCTCCGGACCCCCTCCGAGAGATGACACACTGTGTCCAAATACGATCCCACTCGCCGCGGGCCCCAGCCCCCCCAGCCCCCTCTCAGACTGTTGCCGATCTCGGGTTCGGACGCAGAAAACGACGGATCTCTCGAAAGATAGCCGTAACCATCCTCTAAAAGCACAATTAGCATAGCCATTGAGGCGCCTCTCAATTTTTCAGACATGTGTTGTCGTTGGCCATTAGTCAAATCAAGCATTTTTTCAAATGCCAGGCAAACGGCCAGTCATTAAATACTCACTGAATAAAATTTCGGTCTTATGAACTGTACATTGAAAAGCAAAGGTACCGGCTGTATACGTACCGTCCGTTCCAGGTTCGGAGGCCGTAAGTTCCGGGCACTAAAGCCCTAGCTTCGATTACTCAGGGTGGTACGCCCAGAACTTTCAGCCTCTGACTCCGGTATGTCTATATAGCCCGTAAGAACAGCTTTCGCGCACGGAGTTTCTTTTCAATGTATATATGGTGTTCTTTATCGGTCTCACTATTCGGGTCGTACAACGTACTCTCGGTTCTTGAAACACTGGAAAAAAACGTCTCTTGGAGAGTTCAGACTCTTAAAAAATTTGACAAGAAAAAATACTCCTGACTCGATCGGATTTTAGCTTGAGTTATTAGGCGATCTCCTGATTTTCAAAGGATTGACTCTCGATTCAAGCAAAAATCCGGTTGAATCAAGAGTATTATTTGGACGTATTTATGCTAAAAGGAACTATGTGCAAGAGGAAAAATTGGACGTGCTCGTGGTGAGCTGGATAAGAAACAGTGTAAAAATGGATATAGTTCCTTATGAGAAAACGGAAGAGCGGGATTTGACCTGAAATCAAAAGGAACTAAGCGCTAACTCGTGAGCCTAGGACATGTGACAAGAGCGTTGTGGACAGGGCTCAGGAGTTACAGCCGAGCACGACGACAATGGAGACAGCTTCGTTGCCGCTGACGTCACTGGCGCTTTAAAATCCCCATTCATTCTTATGACCCTCAACTAACGAACACACCCCATCTTTCTACTTGGCCATAGTTCCATTTAGCATAAATACGTCCATTTCCTGTCCAATTTCTTAAGAGTTTGAACTCTAGATCCGAGAGACTTTTTTCGCTAGTGAACGTATCCGTGGTTTATTGAACAGGCTTTGTCTATATTTCGGCATGGTCTGAAAGTTCGGTTTCATGAACCGAGAGTACAGGGATGTAGAAGACCTCACTCACGTTTTCATTGTGCACGTTTTCTATTGTGCTGAGCTGAAAGAACTGCGCTACTTGGCAATGCGGGCTGCCTAGAGAGGCGGCGCGCGGCGGCGCGCGGCGGCGGGACGCGCGTGGGAACCAGTCGGATGAAATTGAATCAAATTGATTCCAGGCCGGACTCGGGCTGCGCTGCGGTGGCATGGCCGGCTTCACGCCGCGTTAGAATCGTATGTTACTGTGTACTCACGTAGCTGTCTCCTTGACTCCCAGTCACAACGTCGGAAGCTCACCCGACAGCTGTTTTGTCCTCTAGGGGCCCTCTTGTGTTCGAAAAAAGGAAATAGACAAAAACCAGAAGCCAACAGGTGTATACACGTAGGCCAGATTGACCTACATCCAAAGAGGGTATTGCTTTTTTTGCGGTGGGAACATTGAAAAATGATGAATCGTTCGATTCAAAACAATAGAACATAATTTTAAGCAAACATTTTCGGATTTAAGTAAGAGAAGCTGTAAATGAGAAAATTCCTACCAATTTCACTTTTCATCGCCATTTTATACTCATCAGAATCAAAATGCTATCAGAAGAAACCTGTTCCCTTAGATTACTCAATTGACGTTTGAGGCTATGTTACATGTTGAACCAATCGATATCGATACAATCTCATCAGTTTGATGTATCGAATACGATCCATCGGCGTGAAAGAAGAGTGAAGGCTGCCGGAGCGGGGCTTTTATCTGAATTTTTACGAAAAAGAAGGAAGGAAACATGAGCGGAAATCCAAAAAAAAAGTTCCTTCTCCACTTTGGACGTAACTAAATCTCTGAGACTGTGTAAGTATTCACGTCATTGCCTGCTCCTTCAAAACTTGGGGCAAATCGGAGCTGGCGCTCCACTTCGTATGCGTGTTCGCTTGCACGAGCCCTCGAGGGAGAATCCAGGTTAATGTCAGGAGGCGCCATAAAGAGGCAGGAACAGGAAGCGAGCGCTAGATAAAAGTGGGAGCAGATCGTGGTCAACTTGATTTATTCAAAGCGATCGGGGATCGGGGCGCCTCCGATGACGCGAGACGCAACACGCGCGGCTCAAGATTCATCGACGCTCTTAAATCACCGGTTTCCCGTTGCACCTGACCCGGGACGGGAACCGATGACAGCGGCATCACGCAACGCCCGTCTACGTGCGCTGTCTGCGCAGCGCGCGTGTCCAGGGGAAGCATAACTTCCAAGGCGGTATTCGGTATTAGAAACCTGCGTTTATGTCATATAGAGTAAGTTACATGATGGAGACTGCCGTGCCGTGACGCCGTATGGACCCTCAGGCGTTACCAAATTTCCTTTGGTAAATCACAAATTTTCGGAAAAATTTGCAAATATTTTTCCTTCTACTTCCAAGTTATTTTTGTTCGCAATTTCACCTAAAGTTCCTTAAAATTTCATGGAAAAATATTCAGAGCTTCCCTCAAAAATAAAAATGTTATGAAAGGAATTTTGGCAACTCTCGAATGTCCATGCCCATGCGGCGTTTTTTCTGAAAACGGCCATGAGAGTGTAGACATTTCAGCCGTGCTGAAGGAAAAACGCTGTATAAAGATTCAGACGCTGCCTGAGTTCTTGTAGTCAAACGTGGATTTTTTAAAGCAAATTTGTCTCCCTTTTTTGTCTAATTTGTCAAAGAATGTTCTTTACGACTTATTTTACCGTACCGGAACATTTGAAGTACTAACACTTCTGTTTTGCTCGAAAGGACGATTTTTATCAGAAGAAATTTGGCAACATTCGAATTCTCCCACGGTGTTTTCCTTAGCTTAGTAGAATTCTTGCTTTTCCCCCCTCATTTTTATCCAAATTGCTTTTTGGACCTCAAAAATTAAGTCCGCCTGTACAGAGAGCACAGACGTTTCGAGGTCCATTTCTAATCGGCTGAATCTGGCTCAATTAAGCTGTTTTTTGGAAAAACCCCTTAACATGAGGAATTAGAGAGCGATAGTGCGTTTGAGATGGTGTAGATCATTTATCTCCTCTCTAAAGATAATGCGGGTTACACAGAGACAAGAGACCCTGCACTGGCCTCTTGGCGACAGGTGGAAGCTTTTACTTTCGGGGATTCAACAGTTCCTTATGAACAATTATAAGGGAGCAACAGTCATCACCCTAATTTTGGCTGTTGACCTACCTACATGGTCGATGATGAGCTTCGGGTGACGTCATGAGCCAAACAAGTTTCCTAAACTTCCGTCATTTTTGGCTTGTTTGCAAAACGAAACTGCCAACACGTTGTTAAACATCAACCATGTAGGTAAGTCAACAGTAGAATGCTGAAGTCCCGAAAGTAAAAGCTTCCACCATGGCCAAGATACAAGTGGAGGGTCTCTTGTCTCTGGGGTTACATTTTGCAATAAGGAACCACTATTTCTGGCCCTATACTCTGGATGGACTAAATTCTGGATGAGTTATCAGGAATGATGTTCCCTATGAAATGGTCCTGGTTGCGGTTCACCGGTGTCCATCATTTGCACTGATATAAAAAAAATGACAAAACGGAGTGGAAAAAAGATGCACAAAATTTGGTTAGTACATTTAATCCGTCGTTGAACTTCTTTTTACAAGTGCTGCGGATACAGTTTACAGCAAGCGTTCATAATGAGCACCAATACTTAATTATTCTAGCTGGTATGTTTATTTTCAGAAGGAATTAATCCTCTTGCATCGCTCGTAAAGTAGGTTATGTAGCAAAGGTCGTGCCCTACTCAAAAATGATAAATTCAGAAAACCTGACTTAAAATAAATACAAAACATTATCTTTGGTCTAAGTATGCCTGAGCAAATCAATATACATTTGAATGTTGAACCCCAACAAACTACGAGTATTTTCTATTTTTTAAAATCAAATCATTATCACAGATAGAAAAAGATAACTTCCGACCCTCATAATTATGCACTAGTTAATTAACTAACTTGTAACAATGTTAGTTTATCATTACGCCAGTAAAAATTAGTTTCCTTACCATAACTAAGAAAATAATGGTCGAAAGTTATCTTTGTAGCGAGTCATCTTTCAGTGGAACCCTCTAGATAGAACTGTTTTCTTATGTCTCATAAGAGTTGAAGACATACTGAAACAAATTTTTTTGGAGATATTATTTTGACTTGAAGTGTCGTCTCTTATCGACAAGAATTTGTTCTTTTTTTAAAATCCGTGTGGATTTACTTTATAGTCAGTTTTTTTTTTTTTTTTTTTTTTTTTTTTAGTGAAAGGCACGTTGTTTTGCTATCGTTTCTTTAGATTGAACTTAATGATGGCAAAACGCCGCTTTTTAACTAAAAAAAACTGATTTTCACTTGAATCCGCACAGATATATGTAGAACCTCGAAAAAATCAAATTTTATACGAAATGGGAAACGATGCTTTCAGCCAAAATTACATCTCAAGACAATTTTTTTTTCAGCGAATGGAGCCATCGATGATTTGCCAGTGTCCTCATTGGCCAGCGATGAGATAGCGTTTAGATCATCGATGTCCCCGTTTTTAACACCAGAAAACGCTTGAATGGAATCAGCTCAACATCCAAAAGTGTACAAGAGCTCTTTCATCACGTGTTGCGTATGGGCACTTTGCCAATGAATGAATTGTAAGGAGACCCCACGTAGTAATGGCCGTCAAGTTCGACTACGTCACTGATATAGGGCAGAATACCATCCGTAGAGTGCAAACTTTTCACCAAATTCCCATCGTCGTCGTAAACAAGTGCTATCCCGTGTGTATTGAATATGAACCAAGCTGTCGAGTCATGATGCGCCATCTACGGTTTAAAAACAAAGCTTAGAATCAGACACCTTTAAATGTTTAGAAAAAAGATAAGAAAGTTAAGTGGACCACTTTTCTTAACAAATAACTGTTATTTTTCGATTATTATAGAAACAGCATATGTGCGATTAGTTTTCCTATCCGGGCAGGTGCTTTCATTGTCGAACAAAGAATATCGGTCCCTCATTACAAAATTTAGTCCAACCGATGATTGCATCAGTCTCCAAAAATATTAGCTATTTTAATCCCTGTCTATTTTACTTATTTTATTACCCATTAGCGCAAACTGCAAAAATTCTCAATTAATGTGATTGTCCAAGCTAATACCACCACCACGGTGCCAATAATAAAGAATCGGCTTGTCGGCATCATCGCATTTAAGTTTTGTACAGACATTGACCCCTGAAACGCTCAAAACTACCAGACCATACCAGAGTTGAAATGTTTTAAAGTTCGTAATTTTCAAAAATGCAATTTAGTGTGCTGTAAGTGCTTATGCAATAATTGTCAAGAGGCATAGGTGCGAAAAGATCCGAAACACTGCCCGTTTACCTCGATCCAGATTTTTTATTTCACGGCCAAATTTCCGATTTGCTTTACGAGAAAATGTTAGATTTTATTTGGCCACATGTTCAATTTCGCGGTTACATGTGTCATTTTGACCAATCTTTTTGAATCTTCGAGAAAAAAAGGAGAAAAAGAAGAGAAACAATATTTTTTTCTATTTGCCCAGCAGCCGAAACTTTTCCTTGTGTCAGTCACAAGATTAGACATTTTGTGCCCCTCTGCTTGAAAATTTCAAGAGTATTTCACTTTCGTGCTCTTTAGTAGGTAATTATTATCCACAACATACTTACGTAAAAGATCATTTTTTTGCATAAGTTTGTAGGATAAACGTCCTGAATTTTCTGTAGGACCATTTCCAACAAAGCCCCGAACCTGGAGATGATCTGTCGGAGCCTTGGGAAAGGTGCTAAGTAGTTAGGGATATCAGGAGCCTCCCTCGTGAGGATCAAGGAAACCACGAATCCTCCATTCTTGTAAGGGACTATGTTGTCTGGTACTCCGGGAAGGTTATCTAGGAAGATTTCCGAGGTCCCTTTTTTCGGCCCCTTCAACCAGTATCTAAGGAGTGATAAGAGATTGATAAGTATAAATAACTTGCATTTCAGAGAATTAAAACATCTACCGAGACTGATACTGCCGTGCGAAGGAAAAACACAGCATGAAAATTCGAGAATTGTTAAATTTTCCCAGATAAAACAAGCATTTTTAAAGGAAAGTTATCCATTTTTGAAATTTAAAATTTCAGATATTTTAGATTAAATTGCGAACAAAATTGTCTGAAAAAATTGAAGAAAAATATTCTCAATTTCCTCAATAAAGTTACTTCTTATTGGCAACATGGCAAAGTCTGAAGGCTCATACGGCGTTTTTCCTTAGCAAGGCATGATAGTAATAAATTTAACTGTTTTCCCTTTTCATGTTTTGAAGTTCAGACTGAACTGCGCGATTAATTTAGTTTTCTGGCGGTAGCCGACCCTTGTAGTATGTGATCTGTTACCCAACATGCTTTTTCCCGATCTTCAACCAGGATTTTGTCACGCGCCAATCAATAAATTGAAAATCAATTCATAAAAAATGAATGGCCTAAACATCGATTCATAGGAAGTCTATACTCATCGAAGATTGATTAAATTATAAAATCTGTTCTTGTTCTTTCTTTTTTTTTTCAATTTCCTTAATCGCATTGCCCTCCCCTTATTCTTGCTTCCATACACACGTAAATCTTATTAGCCAGGATTTAATATTTATCTCGTAAACATCTGATTATGATTACATCAACTGTTTTTATTTATCAATGTATGATTTATTTTATCGACTTATTGTATCAACTTTATTGTATTAATTTATCTTTAATCAACAACATCCATGTCATAAACATCGGGTGAAAGTTTGTAAAAGTGGCATCTCACGAGTGGTTTCACAATTCTGCATTCCGTAAAAAATCAGTTTTCATTTCTCGACTTCGCCCCCTATCTCCCCTGCAAAGGGGTCACATCAGTAAAAACGATGCAATCTTTCTTTAATCAATGACGTATGGGCGCTGATAAAAAGATGGGCACACTTTTATACGAGTTGTTGAGTGCAATTTTAAATGGATTACCTGTGGACACGACTTTTGATCGTTTCAACGACTGCTACGTATGAACCATCACGCGATACGTACACCCCATTGGAGAAGGCGAGATCCTCCATCAGGACTTCACTTTCCCCCGTCGTTTGGTTGCTTCGAATGAGCCTGAAATTAGGGGATTTTTCGGACATAGCTTAAGTAGAGTTGTGGAGTTTTACGCAGTCATAAAAAAGACCAAAAAACTTGTTATATCGCTTGAAATTAAACATGATTTACAGATCGTACAGATTTTGAGAGGTAATCATGGTACTGGTGCTTTTCTCCTACAAGCCATATGTACGGGCTAAATAGATATATAATGTCCTGTTCTGGGCTCAGAGGCCGACAGTTACGGTTTTCGCACCCTGAGCAGTCGAAACTGCGGCTCCAGCGCCCGGAACTTTCGGTCTCTGAGCCAGGAAAGGACAATAATTATGTTATTTAGCCCGTAACTTTTCTTTCAGTGAAGCTCAAGTTGAGTCTTACATGAGTTGTTTTCCAGTCTAATTAAATTTTTTCCAGTAATTTTATAGACTCTCTTCGAAGTCGAGAACTAAATGTTAAATTCATCCTTTTGAGTTGATATTTGGAATGTTCGAATAAGGCATTATGTTATTTGGAAAAATGCTGGTGAAGGAAAATGCATGAAAATGGTCAATATTATACTAGTGCTGTTCAGGACATTTTTACATTTTTTTACTCAGATAATATAAGATTATTTGAGGAATACCTTCCGGATTTGTCGCCAACCCAGATGAATAAAAGTTTGTGCAGAGGGAATTTCGTCGACGTATCGCTCCAGTAGATGGCTTCGTCAGGGCCAACGGCAATATTATTCGGTAAAAGTGGCATTTGTCCGGCAATGGGCTTATCCAGAGGGATAATCAGAGAAAAGTCCCCTGAAACGTAAATAAATTCGATTATTACCAAAACATGTAAAATTAGTAAGTGATGACATAAATTAAAGGGAAAATGCAACTGATTTTTGAGTTTGAAAATGAGATTTCAATAATTTATTTTGATCTCTTGTATTTGATGACATTTATCATAAGAGAAGAAAGAATTTGAAGACAATAAGCTGGCTGCAATGAGAATTCTTACCTGTTGTTGTATTCACTTTGTATATACCGTGGTAACAATCGATGGCAAACAAGTTTCCGTGTTTGTCCATGTCGACGCCCAATGCTCTACCGCATTTCGTTTTATCCCATATTTGATCTGGAAAAAATTAATTTATTCATATTCCATTAATAATAAATCGCGTTTCGGAATTCGGGGAAAAATCATGAGTAAAAAAAAATATTACAAAAAACCAACAACAACACGGGTGTTAACTTGAGATCATTACTGTAAAGTTTCATGATGGTATTTCTTGTCAAAACCAACATTGAGTTCCCTCTCGCCTCCTCCATGAAGTGTGCAAAAATAATTCGAATTCAGTAATGTGAGACAGAAGCTCGCTTTTCTATATTGATTAAACTATGTAGCTTATCAAATTCTCGGATCGTGTGATCAAAAACCAATGTCTCATTTGCGCAATGCGTATTTGAACCAAGTGTTCGGCTACGAGAATCCAAAACGTAGTTTGATAAACTGGGCTGAATTGACGCACCCAGGTTTCCACACAGAACTTTTTTCCCCGCGCGGTTCTGCGGTTTGGACCAAACTTTTGTTTTTTTAGTTTTTGTTGACATTTTCCGTGTAGATAAGGCTTTAGAAACAGAGGAAGCCAGAGACTTACCGCACGGCCGCCCGAGGTTTGCGATGGTATAGAGCGTGTCATCTTTCACGGCGACTACCCGGCCATCCGCGAGTCCTGTATACAGCACGCCGTTGTAGACGACCAGGGATTCCGGCGCATGGACCTCGTTTTCGAACAACTTTGTCGCGCCATTCAGAGCGTCGTTGACAGCCAACTTCCCCTCAAAGGAAGGTGGATCGGGTAAACTAAGAAAAAATAAATAAGTATAATAATTTCAACCAAAAGTTGATTTATTTTTGTTTCTTTTAACTTCATGAGAATGGAGAATTTGCATGCAGATTTTTTATTGCTTCATCTGAACGTGCTCAAAGAGCTGATTTCACAGTATTTATCCTCGTGTTCAGTTCACTCAGTATTTTACTTAAACACGAAATTCATCAAATTTCAGACACCTGCGAATTCTCTATTATCCTGGAGCCGTTTGTAAAGTTTATAAGTTTCTAGAAGAGGGTCTCTAAAGATGGGTTTTGTTCGAAAATCTAATTAAATTCATAAGGTAGTCAAATACAAGCTATAGCTTGTTGTATTTTACTATATATTTAAAAAAAATAAAACAAGTACCGAAAAAAATACTTCGACCGCAGAAGCCGTAGTTATGGACTATATAGACATACCGCCCCTGTTTCGGGTTCAGATGCCGAAAGTTTCCGGTGTAGCACTCGAAGCAGTTGAGGCAGTGGCTCTAGCACCCGGAACTTTTGGCCTTTGAGCCTGGAACGGACGGTATGTCTCTATATAGCCCCCAACTTTTTCCAGTGAGAGAATACCCACTACTTTGCAAAGTTAAAATGTAATATTCGACCTGCATTCCGCCCTAATTTTCATGTTAGTATTTAAATTAAAATCGCACCTGTATTCTTCAAACACTAAATCCGAAGGCAACTTGGGGATACTGAGCAAAAGTGCGGCCGCGATTACAAGATACGCACCATTACGCACTGTTTTCACATGCGTTTCCATGATCTTTACCGGGTCAAAATATCCAACTTGTGAAATTAGTATCCACAAAACACTTCAAAGACTACAACAACGGACTTAATCACTACTCCATGTCACAATCTCGAATCGTCTTAAAAACTCATGCTATTATTTTTGAAAATTAAATATCATGCTATTATCGATCGATAGAGACGGGACGGAGTCTGAATCAGTACTGACGCTTATTTTCTCGCTGAACGCAGGGAAGTTGGAAAAAGAATCCGTATTGTTTCAGCTCTTTTCTTCCGCCCTAAAAAAAGCGAACAGAAAAAAGTAATCGATGACATTTACATACCGTACGGAGAAGGAAAATAAGCTCAATGCGTTGACGCCTCAACGTGGGAGGCTTATTTCTTGTCATCGTGTTCTCCGAATTTTAAATTATTATTTAATGTTTCGTTTCTATGTATGCGTGCGTCAAATTCAACGAATCAATCATTGCATTTCCGAAAGGGAATGACATTTATGATTAGTGCCTTCAGCGGTGAAATAATTTTGTAAAGTACTGACAGTTGATGCGGAGTGATTGCTTCAAACTATTAAAGTATAAAAGTAAAAATAAAAAAACTTTTTTTTTTTTATTTTTGTGGCTAAAAAAACTTAAAATAATAAAGAAAAGAAAAAAATGAAAAAATGAAAAAAAGAAACTAAAAGGAAAATGAAAAAATGAAAAAAAAAATGAAAGACAAAATCGTTTTTTTTTTTTAAAAAATAATTTTTTTTGTAAAAAATAATAGATTATGTAATATGAAACAAAGACTAAATCAAAAAAAGTAAATCTTTACATCTCTGCCCGTCGCACAATGAAACGAGTCATTGGTGGAGGTCGGACTTGAAATTCTGGACAAGAATTGCGCATTTTAGGGTTTATTTCGTTAAATTGTAAATTTGTAGGTGTGGATCTCATGGTAAATTTTACGATAAAACCAATGAAACCACTTTTATAGGGTGTCTAGAATCAGGATTTTCCCAATTTCCCCGATTCTATCAGGATATGACAAAAGTCGGCCGTCTGATCGGATTTTTTTTTATCGAGCTATTTTTTTATATATAGAAATTTTAATTTTTATCCGCAAAAAATCAGGATATGATCAGGATTTGGAAAAATGATGAAATTAGGATTCAGCAGTGAAAAATTAGGAAATATCAGGATTTCCCATAATGAAAAAAAAGAACTAGACACCCTGTTTTAAAAGCTCTACATCAACGGAGTTTTGCGCTCTTAAAGTTTGGACTTTTTGTCCGACTTCTCTCATCGACCCGTTGCATTGTGCGTCGTCTGAAAAAATCTAAGCGAGTCGCGGCGGATTACGACGATGACCAGTCTGCGTTGTGGTGGGCGTTCAATTTTTTTAAGGTGATACCATGTCCATGTCTCATACCGTCCTCGTTTTTTCCGGTGTCAATTTTTTGCTCCACCTGGATCCTTGCTCTGAATCTCCGCTCGGCCACTGTATTTCCCTTCCGAGAGTCAGTCGATCGGGAGTTGCGATTCGTGGGACGATATCTTGTGCCGTGATATTCTGAGCTCGTGAGGAAACGAGCCATTTACCATTTTCGTTGTGAGGAATCGCTCCGGGATTTTTTGCGCCATGAAATTTTTAACTTTATTTGTTAAAATTTCAAGAAGGTTCCAAACTTTTTGTTTCTCGCATTTTTTACCGACGGGTGGTTGAAATGCTCCGAGGCCGAGTTTCACGCATAGAAAATGGTTCCTGTTTTTGTGTGCGTATTTGGTTCTACTATTAACTTTAAATAAAAAAAAAAACCTGTAAATTTACCGATTTTTACGTGGGCCACGATTGTTTTCTTCAGCAGTCATCAGTCGCCGGGATTTCCAGTAGCTTTTTTAGTGAATATACCATAAAGTTTCCAGGAAATTTCTATGATTGGTAGTTACTAAGTTTCTCCCTCTCCATCCCTCACCGAATATGGAAAAATTATCGAACAAGTACGGAAACAAATTTTTCTTGAGATATTATTTTAACGTGCAGCGTCGTTTCATGTTCGTTCAATCGGTTTTCTTAGTTAAATCCGTGCCGATTTAAATTAAAGTCATTTTTTTTTTAAATTAAAAAAGCGTCGTTTTGACGTCTTTAAGTTTAAGTAAAAAAAAAACGATAACATATAAGAACTTTCTTCAACTCCAAAAATTGACTTTGAAATAGAAAAAATCCGCACGGATTGAACTAAAAAAAATCCAAATTTTGTCGACAAGAAACGACGCTTTAAGTCAAAATAATGATTGAAGAAAAAATTTTCCAGTGCAATTGACAAGAAGAAGGTAGTAAAACTACCAAGAACTCAGTCTTTGTAGGGATTATTTGATTTTCCACTACGTGACCATCGGTAAATTTGCAGACTGTTTTTTTTCGTTTTTTTTTTGTTTTTTTTTCCGCTATTTAATGGCTTTGTGTCTAAGCACCTGCAGCCAAAGACTGTTTTTTGTTTTAATTTTTTTTCCTTTCGCTGTGTGCTGCTCTTGAAGGAAACGCAAGAAAAGAAATTAATTCTTTTACCCCTGTAATTATATCCCCTTATTTATAATTATTAATTTACTTCTTTATTTCGATGTGTTTTAGGAGCCCGAACGCCCAGCTGGACCGCCCCAACAGAGACTCCCTCTTTCGGCATAAATGGTACTTCGTACAAAGCGAAAGTACAAGACACGATAGTCCTACCATGTGAAGTAAAAAATCGTGGTAAGTATTATTTTTTTGCCACCTTTGGCTAGTGAATATTTTGAAAACTTCTAACTTCTATCAATCTAGATACTCTCTACCAATATAGCAGCAAAAATCACGAAAATCGGTCCTGTTGAGCTATACAGTTATGAATTAATCAAATGATGATCTGGCAAACGAGAGAGTTTTACTGCAATGATACTGCTCACCTTCAGCTAAGTATAAAAATAAAATCCGGTGCTTAATTTTGACGTCCTAAGTTGAAATAAGTCTGTAACTAGGGATATATAGACACGATGAAGCACGGAAACAACGCGTTAGTCCGTGAACGCAGTGGGATTCTGAGTTTTTGTGAGGATGAATGTTATTTTAAAGGGGTCCGCGGCTCATTGCACTCGGAAAGAGCTCGATGACTTTGGCTTTAATTTATCATAACGGCGCAGCGTATTAGTCTGCATTCACGAGACAATGTGCCGACGCGCCCATCACGGGTGGTCTTCCTGAAATAAACACCATGCCACGCTTTAGCATACGTAGCTAGGGGTAGCGTCTGAAAGTGTGTCTGGTAGATGGACGTTTTCAAGGATCTTGAAGACGTGTGTTTGTCGAATATCTAAGCCCACCACTATGTACCTTCCGGCCAAAGTATCGCAAGCGCCATGCGACGTTTGAAAATTTCCGCCGCCATTTTATTCTTTTACAGAAAAATTGTTCCACGTAGCTGTCCGAAAGTGTCACTGTATTATCTTTGTACTGCCGATAATGTACAGTGTAATTTTCAAACAGAATAGAGAAGGAGAGAATTAATTTTCAAACAGATTCAACCAAAAATTTCTCTGTAAAAAAATAAAATGGCGGCGGAAATTTTTAAACGTCGAATGGCGCTGGTGATACTTTGGCTGGAAGGTGACGCTGTCTACATGAGTGGTAAGTCATACTCAAAAATCAAGGGGCTTAAGGTAGAAATAAGTTAGGTCAATTTATTTCTAAAGCGTTCAAGAATAGATGATTTCCGGTAGAGCTAGAATTTGTCCCAAAAAATCAGTGATTTCCGCCAGAATTCAACTTAGAGCCTCGCGACACCATTACAAAGTTATTTTATTAAGACATCGAATTCATACACTTTTCATACTCAAATCTCTTCATTTCGAAATCAAAGAATGTCTTTCAGCAATATTATTAACTTGTCCCTTCATATCAACATAGAGGTTAATATTGAAATAGCTAAAAATCCCCTCTGTATTCCTCCTCTAACATATCTACAGGAATGCTCTATAATAGGTAGGTAACCGTTAGCTGCCATTCTCATGACATATATAATTTAAATAATTTTCCTTGTTCCAACCCACATCTACAAAGTTTTTCAACATTTTTTTAAATCGTTTAATAATTCCAAAAAGTAGATCTCGTGGATTATTCATTCATAGGATAAGATATTCACTACTTGCATCTTTAATATATTTGTTTCATACATAATACATTTTTGCGCATAGAGTTTTACTTAATATAGTTTCAGCTGCGATTAAAAAAAAAAATTATAGCAGGATAAAAACTTATACTTTGCGCAATGTATAATGAAGTTTTTTGTTGTGACCTTTATTAAACATTGATCAAAGGAATCCTTGTGGGTAATATTCAAGTGCTTACAGTTTTTTCAGTTTCTTGAATGATCGGTTTTTTTAACCTCCATTTTTTGGGGTGCATTTCATTCCCTTTTTCCTTATTGTGTAGTAAAAAAAAAAAAAAAATGTAAAACTTATCAGGTATAGTCAGCCCTCAGTCCGACAGGAGGCCTAATTGTAAGTCTCAGGATTCGGCACTACCTTTGTTTTTCGATCCCGTGGATTGGCGATTGACGTCCTCCTCTAACTGTTTACTCGATCCTTCATTCTTAAAATTTCACTTTCTTTGCGTAGCTAGCCCATTTCTTGAAATCGCTCGAACTCGCCAGACTTTAAAATTTCAAAATTTTTCCATAGGAACCCCGTCCTCTCAAGATCCGAAATAATAGGTCCCAGACCACCCCCGAGCGCAATAAAATTGCCAGTCCCGTGTCTTAAACGTGATTGAACAGTTGACTTCTGAAGTGCTCGAACGCCGATAACTCCTGAGCCTCGGTTTCATTCACCTGTTACTGTGCCCAGGGTTCATGAGTTTCGGTGTAACGGCTCTCATGGAACCAAACGCTTCGATTGCAGCATCTTGATCAAATCACGGGTGCGGAAAAGTGCTCATCAGAGCGCAGCCAGAATCAAAGGGCCCGAAACGGGCCTTAATGGCCAAGTGCGTCGCCGGAGGAATGGACACTCCGCAATGGTGTAACCGCGTCTTTAAATGAGTCCTGTCGTGCATATGGTTACATGCTTCTTAGGGCTCACGTGAGACTGGTGTTAGGTCGTTTTGCGAAAGAAACGACGAAACGGACGCTGAGCCGCGGGTGCGACCACAGACGGTGAGACGGAGTTGCCGGGGGAATGAGCGAGCGAGTCAGGGGTAGCGAGTGGACCCCAGTGTCAAGGCGTGAATGATCGACCATCGATATATCCCCATCTGATGCTGTGGTAAAGGATCGATTATTAAGGTGTTGGTTGAGAACACCCTGTTCATCGACCCTTTTCCATGGTTTTAAATGACGGATGAAGCGATTCATCTCAAAGGACGCCACGGCGCGGGTGGACACGGGAATGCGAGGGCGGAATCCGTGTGGCGATCGGTCATTTGGCGTAATTAGTCGCGGATAGGCGCCGGCGCCCGGAACTCGGGGCTTTGACTCAGTTTCCCCGACTCCGCCCGGGTTCCCGCCATTTTCCGAGCTTCCCCGAAACTTCCCTCGTGATTCTCGATGAGGACAGGAGCTTCCGCGGAGAGCGGCCGAGAGAGCCTCCAAAACTGAGAACCAAGTCTCTAAATAGAGGCGTAAAAGTGCACCGAGAAATAAACTCGCTTATTCTACAGTTGCCAGTGTCACACGGGATTCCACGGTAGTAGAACCGTGGACTTTGGTAAGATTATATTGATGAGCACAGTAGCACAGTCATGATCACAGTATTGCTCACAGTAATATTACGGGGGACATGCTGACATCACCGTCCTGATCATTATCATCAAAACCCACGGTTCTGCTACCGTGGAATCCTGTGTGACATTACTAACGTGGTAACCGTAGAGTAATCGTGTTTTTTCCTCCGTGTCGTCGTGTTAGATTCAATTGTTAAGGGGCTGAAACGTGATTTCTTCATCTGCTTTTTCTTCTCTATCTTCTTCTCGATTTCCTTCCTTTCTTGCCTCTTTGCGTGGCTTTTATTATTTAGTTTATTTCTTCAGCTTTGCTTCCATTTCTTCTTTTTCTCTTCTCATCTTCGTCCTCCTTACCATCTTTTTCTCCTCCTACGTCTTCGTCCTCTTTGCCCTCCCCCCCTGTCTCTGATTCCTCGACCTTCTCTTCTTTTCCTCTCTTCCTCCTACTTCTAATTTTTCTTCTTTTTTTTGACTTTTCCTCTTTTCCTCGCATATCTTTCTTTCCTGTTTTACCCTTCATCGCACTCTCATTCTTCATCTTGTGGTGTGCACCAGTCGGGAATGGTGTGCATCGCCAGAATACCGAGAAAATACGAATTTTCATTGATAAAAGCGCGTACCGTAGTAAACGCGCAATGCGTGAAGTATTCTTACTGTCGTGTAGGCGCCAATATGCGTTCAACGCGCAATGCGTGAAGTTTTCCTTCAGTCTTGTAGGCGCCTGTATCTGCCTTTCGCGCGACCGCCGCACGGTGTTCGGCGCGATCAGTTCAACTCACGGAGCCAGCGTTTTTCAACTTGTCACTACCGTTAAGTTTGTGCACACTCTTTATGGAATACTATATTTTAGATAACATCTATATTCGTTTTCCCAAACTTTTACACTGGCTTTGCAAGCACTTTCATCATAAAATTGCGTTTGCCCTCCGGATTCTGGACTGATGTTAAGAAGAATATATCCTGTTGTCGCAGAAGAAAGTCATTACTAACCCATTGAAATTTTTCATTTTTATTTATTTTTTTTTTTTAGCCATAATGGTCGTCTCTGTTTAGATATTTTTCCTCCTCTTCTTACTTTTTATTTTTCGCACTTCCTATTTTTTTTCCCCCTCCTTTTTTTCTCTTCTCATTCTTATCATGTCTCAGCCACTTCTCCCCCCCCCCTTTCTTTTTTTCGTCTCCAACCATTTCTATCTTTTTCTCTTCTTCTTGATAATTTTTTAGTATATTTTTTGCAGTCGCAAAATTGACAGGTGAATGTATATCCGATTATATTACAGAATCGATTCTAACAATTCGCATTGAGGTAAAATTTACAGATTGCCACTCGGATTATGTCGCCTATCTTGGAGTAGCATTTCTTCGCAATCAGAGGAGATCTCAAACAAAGCAACTGTGAGCTTCTTTCTTCATTTCATCCTCCCTCATTCCTACCCCTCGGCCCTCACCCCCCTCGGAGCCCTTCTAGTCCTGGTCGCCATGAGCAATATTTTCGCTGACAAATCACGCCCGCCATTGTTGGTAATTCAAATGTCCAGCTCGATTCTTGCACTCCGGCTATACTTCCAGATCCGTATTGCTCGGCGGTATTAAACATATCTCCATTCCTGTCCTTTCCACCATTCATCGTTCACCAGCACTAGCACACTTTTTTTTCTGTATGGACCCCTAAACCAAACGCATGTAGTTTTTACCGATTTCTACGTTTTCTGCCACAGCACTGCCAATCCCTCCAGCTCGTTCCTGTAAGAGGCGATCCAATGTCTTACGAATCAGTAAAAATAACGTTTCACCCAAAATTGAAATAACTAACCCTTACGTTTTACAATTTTTCACGTATTTATGGTAAAAAAAATTGAATATCTATTAGATTTCATTTTATGGGTGTCGTTACCGATCAATCTTCACCTTTTTTTTCTCAGATAAAGACTAATAAACATGTTTAAATATTTCCTCTGATTTTTCTTCATTGCATATAGAATTGCAAAAATTTAAACATTTTTTTTTCATTCTTTAAGAAAAGAAGAAGAAAAAAAACACCTATACTTTGAAACTTTTCAGTCGCTATTCGTGTATTTAAACGTTAGCCGTTGATGTAATTTTATCGCAGAAAGCTACATTAATTTACTTGTTTCAGGGGAATATGGTAAATTAAATCCACAACGAGGACAGGGTAAAACTCTAGTGACGGAGAGCCGAATTTCTCCCAGCCCAAATCGCAACGAACCGCGGTAGCCCCAACTTAGTGTTAATGGACTACACAAATGGACGGTCCATTTCGACCCCCCGCCCCCCGGAAAATTCTCGATAATGAGTCGCCCTTCGCAAGACACGGCGAGACCCCCGACCTTGTAAAATCCTGGCTCTATTAAGGAGCTCTTTGAAGACGTTCGGAATTTCGGAAGACGAGAAGCAATCGTCTTAAGACCACTTGCGTCGAACTGCTTCCTCCTAGGTCCTCGCGGCCGGCCGCTCCAATCGATTCGCAACCGCGGAAATTACACGACGGAGCTGCCGCACAGTGGATCCAGTCAATTAGAGAGGTCGGACATGAAATTTTCGCCCAAAACTGCAAATTTTGATATTAGTTTCGTCACTTTTTAAATTTAAAGAGGTGCCTCCAGAAGAAAATTTTAAGAGAAAACCAATGAAACCACTTTTAGAACCCCAAAGTTTTATATAAACGGAGTTAAAAGCTTTTAAAGTTTCCAAATGTTGTCCGACCTCTCCTATTGACCCGGTGCACAGTGTGCCGCATCTTGTTGGCTCGTGTATCGGACGTTGGGTTCGGTGTTGACCCGTCTCCTGTCTCGTCCAGAGCTCCCGAAACGAGGATCCGCGATTCCTTCGAGATCGCTTCATTTACCGCGTTCCTGTCTGCATGTGACGGCTGGAAGAAAGTTCAAACCAGTGGTCCTCCACCGCGGGGAGGGTGACAAGTCTCGAAAAGTTAGGGTAAACTTGATCAAGTCCGTAAATTTTACTCGATTTGTGAAAAATATTCTGATCAAAGTACGGAGAAAGTAGAGAGTAGAAGGAGCAGAGAGTTTATGAGATACGCCGAAATTTTCAGTCTACTTACTACTTATTATAATAACCGAAGTTGGGTGTCCATTTATGCACTCTTAATCAATAATAGCCACGCATATAGGTTTTAATATTTTTATAGCTTATCGGAAAATCTACGCGTATCACTTAATGCTATACCATTGTCATTGGTTATGGCACCATTAATTGGATGTATTTCTACCAAACGTAACTATGTGCATTATGACATGGGCCCTGTTATGCACAAATTCTCATGGGTCTCAGGCCTCAATGCACATAGTTCTTTTTGGCAGAAATACGTCCAATTAAGAGTTTACGTGGCGTAGTCACTGCTTTTACTATCATTACCAGTAATTTTTCTAGAAGCAGGTAAAATACTAGAATACTGACCTTGGTGTAGCCAACAAACCCCGAAGCTGTTTTGCGCTTGATTCGAAATGTTTAAATAGCTCCAGCCTCATGTATTCGCCGTATTTCCAGAGCTCAATCTTTACATTGAATTTGTTTATGAAAGAAATTGTCATGCCCTAAAAATTAAATGAAATTCAGAAATTTTTAAGTTTAAAAACTTTGAATATTCTAGCGTTGCCTTTAGTGAGTCTATTATCTACCTCCTTTGTTCATTGCAACCACCAATAGCATTCCTTCATATTTCTTTTGCCTCCTTTGTCTATAGCTTTGTCTATCAATTTCAATAATCTGTCCGCTGATCAGAGAGAGTCGCGGCAAAAGGATGTAAAGAGAGAGAGAGACAGCTAGGAGGGATATAGAAATCGTAATTGAAAAAGGGAGTGATATGTGATGTCACATGAGCCCAGCTGGGAACCGGGAGTCCCGAAGGGGGAGCCATGATAGAGTCGCCGTAATTAAGGTCGTTACGTCGAAGGCAATTCATCAATCAAGAAACCAAAGATCTGATTCACTCCTGTCCCACAGACACAATACCCACCTCATTTTTCACTTATTTTTACTCTCTCCGTTGCAATATCTCGCTTCTAGCTGTATTGAATGAAGTAGGTATAGTAATGTGTAGTATGGGGAAATGTTTCGCCTACTTGTTTTGGGGAAAAAAATTGATTTTGTCTGTTTTTTACCTCAGTTCAACGGTAACCGGCTGCAGAAGCGAATATTTTTGGAGCTGAAAAAAATTTGATGTATCCAGCTTTTTTTAATCAAAATGTCATGCTACTGATTTTTACTGATAAATGGAGCGACTTTCATAACCTCTCCAATAAATCTATTCAGGTATAGACGATTCGATGTTCAGCTTGATTTGTATTTTCTATCAATTCTCAGAGTTTATCAAACTTCAGAAATTGTGTAATTATTTTGGTGGCGTGTTGCAGCCATGATGTGTGCTTGAGAAGTATACACTGACAAACAGGTCATTGCGCTTATAGAGCACTACTCCATCCTCAGGACTAAATCTTGTGAACATTTAAGAACGGTCTTAAATGAATTGGATTGATGATGGAGTAAACGGATTGTTCTAGGTTTTGTTCAGGTATGGTCTTGAAGTTAAAAGAGTGCTCTGAAATGCATTGATCAATCGTGGACTACATTTTGCGATCAGGAACTAAAATTTCCCCCTCATTTTAGAAACAACATGTGTGCCAGCAGTTATCCAATGCAGTTGGGTATTTTTGCGGATGAGCAAGAAATTGTAGTTCCTGATTGCAAAACGAAGTTCAATTGGATTACATTTTGCAACAAGGAACCTTTATCTCTGGCTCTTCCATAAAATCACTTTTCTACATAGATGGCAATATATCGACGGTGAAACTACCAAACCACGTATCTCGTTTGCGGTGTTTAAAAATCTACGCTCACATTTTATTTTTTTGAAGTAGACCAAATCAATATCATTCCTTGAAATTTTCACGGAATTTTCTCCGCACAAAGAGGAACAATCACAGAAATTTTCAAAACTGGATGTTAAGTAGTTTTTCATTTAAAAAATAAAGTATGATAGGAAGTCTGCGACGTCACAAACCGAGATACGTGGTTTGGTAGTTTCACCGTCGATATGTCGTTTCTTATATGATCCAGAAATAGTGGTTTCCTATCGCAAAAATTCACACATCTTAAAACTCGTTTTTATAATGTCCTTCCTAGAGTACCTGTATAGGGAGAGTACCGACAGATCGGTTCATGGAGGGCTTAGGGCCCAAAAGTGCAGCCACCCTTCTAACCAACTTCTAACACACAAAATTTCACTGCCAGTCTGCAGATTCCAATTCTAACCAAGATGGCCAAGAATGTACAGAAATGAGCGTTCTTCCGCGAAATTGAGTAAATTTGTGCAAAAACTGAGTCAAACACGTGCTTAACAAAGGAAAAGGACGGTTCGTAACAATAGTATCAGTAAATCGCTATGGATAATTGAAATTCATATGTTGGCTGCCCTTTTGGGCCCTAACTTTATTCGCGGAGGCATCGGTGAAGGCCTGATGGACTTTCGGAGTTTCAGATCTGTCGCTATTCTCCCGATACAGGTACTCTAGTCCTCCCCCGTGTGATTTTGGGAAGAATATAGGAAAAACAGAGAAAACGTCAAATTTCACAAATTCTTTGAAGTGCGCCTAAGAGTAGTTTATGAACGTATGTTGTTTATTGTTTCAGGGAACTATGTGTTGGTCTGGAAGCGGGGGAAGTCGGGGGTGGTGCTGACAGCGGGGGCGACGAAGGTCTACCCCGATGAGCGGATACATCTGGTGGATGGCTACAACCTGGAGATCCGAGACATCAAGACGGCCGACGCTGGCGACTACGTATGTCAGGTCGTCACCATCCAGCCCATGGAGATCACTCATACTCTCGAAATCCTAGGTAAGTCCCGCTTTCTAACTTTCCAGTTCTTGTGTCGATCGGAACTTCCATTATCCCGGAGAACCGTTCAACAGAGATCATATAGAAACTAGGTATAATAGACACCCTTCACTGAAAAAAAAAAAAAACGTTCGGTCGTATATACCGAAGTTCCGTGTTCCGTATCATCCCAACTAATTCTCTTCGTCAAGCTGAATTTTCGGTGTGTCAACCCGATTTTTCGGTTCGTGCAAAGTCAACTGAGGAACAAAGTTTGGTCATATATGCCAAACGTTCGGTTACACGAACCGAAAGTTCAGTTTGACAAACCGAATATTCGGGATGATTTGAAAGACCGAACGTTCGGTTCACACGATCGAATTTTTTTTAGCGTACAATTTTAGGCAAGTAGCAAGGTCCCGAATAATTCGAATGAATCGGGTTTTCCAGCGGCGCCGGCGCTGCTCCGCGAAACCTCGTGGCTCGCCACCTGTCTGGCCATCCTTCCCATTAACTCGCCACGATTCATTTGCTTTGTTTTCAATTTTCCTCTCTTGAACCCTCGATCCGCGGTAGATCAATCACTGCGCGGTCATCTCTCCCCCCCCCCCCCCCCCCCNGCCACGGAGATCCTTTTCTCTCAACACGCTCCCTTTTTTTGAAGGTGCTTGACCCTCCCTGGCTCGGCCTCCAAGGGACGTGATTTGGAAGGATAATACCGAGTTTTAAGGTTCTCAGTAGGTTTTCAAGTGTGAGATAAGGGAGAGGATTTTTCAGGGGGCCGGGAAGTGGTTTCGAAAACCCTCCCTGGGCGTGCTAGCTATCTTGACTAATTTTATGTTTCAAACACAATTTTCTAGTGGAAATTAAATCCATTCACGTATTGTCCACCGCACACGGAAAAGTAGGCACTGATACCAGAAAAAAGATGGTCAGTTGGATCGTTAGTAGAGGAGCGCGGGAATTGTGGAGATTGTTCGGTAAAAGGTACAGAAATACGGGATGTTTGTGGAGAACTTGATCAAAAGTATCCAGAACTTTGATTTTTGTCAAAATTTGAAAATTAACGATTGTGAAAAAACTTGACTGGACGTATCATAATGAAAAATGTTTATGTGTCTAAAATTCTATTAATTTAACATACTAGTGGAAATCATGAATGAACTGAGCACGAGAACATATACTTGTTTCGTAAATTGAACAATTTATCGCGGGAATCATGAAGGAGCTGATCTAATCTACGAAAATGCATTTAAAATGGGGAATGCCGAGCCGGGCGTATACTTTCTCACAATTAGGTATTGGTTTTTTTTACTATTTCCTCTATCTTTTTTCATGATATAAAATCGTTATAGTAATACGGCGCGAAGCGCTGTAGAGGGTTGGACTGTGAAACGGTTAGAAGGCATAACGGATAGCCCTCCAGTCAGAAATTTTTCTTAAAAAATACGGTGAAGTTAGCTCATAATGTATTTTCCTGTGAAGCTATACAATTTTCTGATCCAAATCTAGGGAAGTATTTCAAAGTACCGGCGCATACTTTTGTCTAGAAGTTAACTATCATGACCTAACATTTTGAGACAATTTGAGGTCATAATTCCGCTTTGTTATCTCTCATAAAAATAAAACACACGCTGAAATTTTGGAGCGTGCAGCTGAGGTAACTGATTTCGGAGCTCCAACTGATTTGACTATTTGCCACGCCAGTGATATCCCTATAAACGCATTTCAATTGTCGAAACGTGGAATCCAAGACGTGGCTTTTTCTACCTTTGACTTTGACCAAAGTTGGAGGCAGCTGTGACGAAGGTTCGGAGGACGTGCTTCCCTGAATAAATTAAGATTCTCTCCCGAAGGCGCGGTCGGGGGCGAGGGCTGGTGCTTCGAGGGGAGTTTCTAATGGCTATATCATCAAAACTTTCGGAGCCTTAATAGTTGACCAAGACCGTGTTCGAGAACCTCCGAATCGAAAGATCTTCGCCTCGGCGGGGAGTTGACGATGCTGTTGCTAGATCTCTGGAGTCAATTTTTTGACTTCCCTCCTGTTATTATATCCCCATAGGTTTTTTTTTAGCATCTTTCTCCCCTATTCCTGTCTAACATGTACTTTAATCAATTTTTAACTGTTTAAATTCGTTGAAATGAAAACGAAAATTATTGTATTTTCATTTAACGCTAAAAGAGGAATTTGATTTGATCGACCGTACAAAATTTCCAGTGAGTAAGTGGCATTCCAGAATAAATCGTCTTTTACCTATGGAAACCTTAGCGAAAAAAGCTGAAAATGAGAAAATTCCTAAGAATGTCACTTTTCATTGCCGTTTTATACTCATTAGAAGCCAAAATCTATGACAAGAAACCCGTTCCCCTAGTTTACTCAAGTAAGTCAGTTAAGTCAGTTTGACTTTCGAGGCTATGTTTCTATGTTGAAGCAATCGATGTCAATACAATCTCACCAGTTCGATGAATCGAATACGATCAATTTGCGTGGATCGACTAGACGCCCTGACGACGCGGAAACATTTCGGCAGCGTCGCTTTTACCTTGCTCGCCTGCTAATGAAGAAAATGAAGAATACACTTTAATATTTGTCAAACTTTCCCTGGAATCGCGACGAGCGGACGGCGGAGGGTGCGGCGGGGGAAGACGTCCTTAATGACCCAGGAAGCCCGCCAGAACCAACCCCGCGCGGTCCCGAAAGTTAAACTTTCAACAGTTTGCACCGCTACATTTCCGCGAGTGATCCCCCGTCCCCTCCCGCCCCCTCCCGCCCCCTCCCGCCCGCTCCCGCTCACCGCTTTTCCACGTTTACTCAAAGTTCTTAAGTCATTTTACACACGCTTAGGTACCTGTGGCTCTTTCTTCACCACTCTTTTGCGCCTTTTCATGAGCCGACTCTCGTTGAGTCCACTCCACGGCACCGGGTATCCATCATTCGCTTTGGCCCTACCCAGTAATCCCAAGCTCCTTGTCTTCTACTCGTATTTTCCTTTTTGAAGATTTTTTATCAATTTTTCGTAGGTCTATTCAACCTAAATTGAAAATTAAAATAATTTAGTAAAAAATTTAATACTGAATGGCAAACGCGAGAGGCTTAATTGGACCGCGTTTAGTATAGAAAGGAACCAAGCCACTTCAGCTGTTGCCAAATTAATTTAATTTTAATTTGAACAATTTAATTTTTACAAGATGACTTTTGTGCAAATTCCTTTGAAAGTTTTAAGGAGCTTACTTCGCACTAAATAGAAAACGCACAGAAATTTGCAAAAATATCCGCATAACCGGTTTCTTGTAAACAATCAAATTGCCCAGTTAAATGAGGTAATAGTCAACGTGGCTGCGCTGGTAAAAAAAACCTTTTGGACCAATGCCGCGGTGCATTGACTTGAGAGTGCAGTTTCTTGTCGCCAGATTTAAGAGTCTTGAACTCTTGTTTCATGCGGATTTTGCATTGATTCAAGCGGATTTTGCATTGAAACAAGAGTCCAGACTCTTAAATCCGGCGACAAGAAACTGCGCTCTTCCAAGAGGTTTTTTTTACCAGTGTGGGTTCCTTTCTGCATAACGTGGTCCGGCTACGCGTGATTTGTGCCTTGGAGTGGCGTAGTTAAGTCCCTAAATATGCCTGCCTTTGCACAGAGATCATTCAGTTTTATGACTGTTAATGAAAGGGGGAAAAAACATTAATAGGACTCTATTAAGGGGTGGGGTAAGCATAGAACTGGAGGAAAGGGTAAGCAGAAAAAGAAAAGAATAAGACAGGCGTGTCAATTCCTCATTTTCTATTCCTCCTTTCTTATGACTTTTCATGATTTTTAAACCGAATGCTCGGGAAGTGCAAACTTCTGACGGGAAAGCCGCAGTAGAAGAGGTTTTTTAAACCAGAATCGCAAATATCGTTTAGACACTTCATGCGATCGTTGATCAAAAAATCTGATAATTTTCTCCGATAAGTCTATCATGAGCCTATAAAACTGAAACAATATTCAATTTCGGTATGACTTCTCCTTAACCGGCTGTGCTCAATCAAAGTTAATTTATACCTGAAGACCCTTCTCTCATTTTGAAGTGCTGGTTTTTCGATTTTCATTCCTGCATAGAGCTTGTCCTTTTCAATTTTATTCTAACTTTTTCATTCACCGTCCCAGTAAAGCATATATAGCTCTCTGCCAGAAATAAAAAAAAGAAAGAAAAAAATGCCGGATCATTAATGTTTCTGGGAAACTTTGGGATTTTTCACGGTTGATTTATTCTTTTCCGGGAGCTTAACCTTTTCCTTAAATCCTAACTCATTGCTTATGCTATTATTTTCTGGGAAAACAATCCACTGGGTACTCGAGTTGCTGTCTTGATTCGTGAGTGGGAAAAATTCTCTGAAGGATTCGATTTCAAAGGAAAGGTCATTAACAGAGAGTGAAACTACCAACAAGAGTAAAAAAAGTGCAACATACAATATCAAGAGCATGTGCCACCTTTTGAATGTGTGATCAAACCTTTTCAAACTTCTCCTATTCCTAATATTTTAACGAATCAAAGCCAGTGGCGTAACGCACTTCCGCTGGGCCCCCCTGCAAAATTTTTTCTAGGGGCCTCCCAAGTCGATAAAATGCCAAAATTATCCCCCCCCTCTCCCTTCCTCACCCCTTCCCGTTTTTTCTCGTATGGTCTAGGCCCGCAGCCCGAAAATTTTTGAGAAAATCAGCCTTAACCACCAAAAAATCAAAGTGGCAGTAGCTAAGCTACTGCCACTTTGATTTTTTGAGCTACTGTAGCTTATATCTTTTTACCTTTAGGTATGGTATGTGCAGAATTTAGCCTACTTTTACGTTATGTTCTGAGGTGGAATTTGATTCACTTGCATGTTTGCGCAAATAAATATATTTTAAAAAAAAATAAAAACGTAAATGTGCCCGATTAAATGGAGCCCCTAAAGGATCAATGATCTAAAGGAAGGCGGGGGCTCAGCCCAGGCCCATGAATCAAAGGGCCCCCAAGGTTTTTAGATTCTTGGGCCTCCCAAA